TATCTCAGAATCCGAGTCTGAAAGGTATCACTTGTTTGTTTTTTTTGTTGTTTTTTTTTAAATTTGATTCATAATTTTTATGAATTAAATTTCACTACCTTTGTTCCAAACCCACCTCGGATCCCAATCGTTTTAAAATGTCAGGGCTACACAAACCAATATACTCACATTCCTGAGAGACCCAAAGCAACTGTCACCACATTTGTTGCGCCACCCATATTTTCAGTGAACAAAATCGCGGGCTAACATTTATGTTAAAGCCTAAATGTCTCTATGAACCGATTGGCCCTCAACAATCGCTTTCTATACGCCTATACATTAGATTTAGTTGTTATTCATCCAATAGTTCATTTCGGTAAAGATTTCCCTAAAGTACTCAATAATTTGTTATCGTTATAGACGTTAGGGTTTGACCTGACCAGCCGAATGATCGGATAGGGCCTCTCCGATCGCCCGTCTAGTCCAGGTAAGGGTCAATGTTTTGTTTTAGGAATCGAAATTACATAACCTTGACCGCTGAAACCCTCAACAACTAGGATCTCATCCCCAGGCACCACGGGTCGCCAACCACGACCAACACGTGGTCCATTTGGGGTGGGGGGTCTTACTTATTTACAGAGGCGTAGTCATCTTATTCTACATCCCTAGCCGACAGGGCGATTACAATCAGAAAGTTTAAGCTATTATTTCTAGGACAATTAATGAAGAATTTAACACTCACAAGACATACTGAAAGCTAAGGAATCAGAGTGAAACTGTGAGTTAACTGACCAAGTTAGGTCAATGATTCCCAGCGTGGGGCGCATGCCCCACCGGTGGGGTATGGTAATATTTTCGTAGAATCTGCAACATTCAGGCTTACTATACCAACAGAATAAGGGGGCAATTCGAGAATGAGTTGTTATTATTATTGTAATCTAGTGAGTCTGAGTGAGAGTGTTAATGTTAATGATGGTAATACATACAATGCATATACACTATGAATATATAAAAATATTTTGTCTGTATTTACGTACATGTGTAATACAGGGTATTTGCCGTCACCCCAGACTCGCCTGTCTCGACGAAGGTGAGAGCGTGATGCATGTTGCTGGTAGAGACTATGTTTTGTCGGCTAACCAGCGCGAGTCACCATTGAGCTTGCTTCCTTCACGTGAATTGCAGTAAGATTTAAATATTACAGGGGGGAGGGGGCACCAGAACTTTAGAAATACCAAAGTAGGGCATGGCCCCAAATCGGTTTTGGAACCACTGAGTTTGACTGAATGGATAAATGAGGAATGTAAAATGTCCAAATTTACTTAGAGCAACAAATAATAGGAGATTGTGGCGAGACATGACCACTTTGTCCTGAAGGGACATGGCACATAAACGAAAAGTTTGAATAGACAGGAGGGAAACGTTTTAACAAAATGTAAAGAATCTAGAAAATAGGGGTAAAATGCTATCATTTTAATTTTGGTAAATTCTCATTGATGTCATTTATCCATGACATTAATGGGTATCTGGACATTAAATAAACATCACATTTAATTAAAAGATTCATACTAAAGAAACGCATTAACAGGGCCGTACCAGAGACAAATGTTTAGTGGGCGGGATGAATATTTAAAATTTAGCCTTAAGTTATGAAAGACCGCCAACATGGTTAGCGGTAAGAGCATTTAAATTTCCAGTCCCCCAAAATTGGCAAAAATCATCTTCGAAATCATAGAGAACCGTCTGTGTTACAAATGAAAGAACATTTCATTTGATGTTATTTATTTATTTATTTTGACTGTCAAAAGGGAAAAATATACCTTTGTTAAGGAAAGAAAAATTTTCTTTTACTTATTTCTTTTTTATTTGAATCTGAAAGACAATAAAACAACTACAGCAAAACATTTTTATGCAAGATTTTGTCTTTCTTGCTTGGGTAGATTTTTTTCTTTCTTGTTTTTTTTATTATATTTTGTTAAAATAAAACCCTGTAAAAATACTACAATTAGCAAAATTTTTTGGCGGAGCTACAGCCCCCTCTCCCGGCTTCTACGGCTTTGGTTCTTTTTTCTTTCCATGTGCCATGTTCTTTCAGGGAGTAGGCGATCATGGCTCTCCACCTCCTTCTATCCCTTGTAGCTTTCAGCAAGTTCCTTCCTTCTGCCACCTCCCCCAGAGCACGTTCTGTCATCCACTTGCTTAAGGTCGCTAAGTATGTGTTGCATTCCCTTGTCTCTCTTTCCCACTATTCGACCATTGAGTATCAGATTCTTCATGCACTTCTTCCTCATTATATGTCCCAGGATCTTCTGTTGCCTCTCCCTGCTGCTACGTATAAGCCTCCTCCTTGTTTGCAACCTCTCTAACACCTCATCATTGATCACACGCTCGATCCATGTTATCCTTAGCATCCTTCTGTAGAATCATATCTCCGTCGCCTCGAGCCTTCTTTGAAGAAATTGTCCAACATTCACTGCCGTAAAGAAGAACAGCTGTCACGTAACTGCTCAGTATTCTTTTCTTCGTTACCAAAGAAATCATCCTGTCTCACAATACGACTTTGATCAACGAAGAATAAATTCATCACGTTATAGACTACGACACATCATAACAATGCAAACACGACGAAAAGAAAAATATAAAACTCCGACTCTATGACCTTTATTGCTAACTTTTACTCCGACCACAAAATAACGAAGCTGCTATTGCAAACAATTCTTTCTACTGATCAAAAAGAAAAAAAGTATGACGCTTTAAAGAACATTTTTGTTTATTTTTAAAATATAGATTTCATATTAATTCTATTTAAAAGTTGAAAAAAAAATATTTTGAAGAAATCTATTCATTGTACTTAGTCTTATGAGGAGTGCCCTAGTGGAGAGTCGCTCTTGGATAGTATATTTCATTAGTATCACAGCTGGAATTTTAATGCAAGTAAAGGCAAAACAGACACAGACACGGTGCTAAACAGAAAATAGTGATGAAATTTTGAAGTTCGAAGATTTTTTTCATGAAATTTTTAAAATTTGGTCTTTCTTTTTTTCCCATTTGACAAGTATTTAAAATTTGTTTTCATATAGGCAAAGCAAGTCATTCAGTGGAAATAGAATCAAGGTACAACGATTAAATTAACTGAATTAAAAAATGAGACTCAAAAAATTGGACAAAATGAATTAAAAACTTACTGAAAGAGGAAAATAAATTTAGTCTGAAATAATTTTCTCATTTTTCCTCTTTCAGTGAATTAAAAACTCACTGAAAAAAGAAAAGTGAGAAAATTATTTCAGACTAAATTTATTTCGTTCTTTTTTGTTTTCTTTCTTACTGTATTCTTTCTTTCTTTCCTTCCTTCTTTCCTATATTTCCTCTCTTAGTAGAAAAATATTAAAGCCTAAATTTATTTATTTATTAATGTCATTTTTTTCTTTCTTCAACTTTTCTTTTTTCTTTTTTGTTTCTCCGTTTATATATCCTTTTTATAAAAATTTGTAGTAAATTACTACAACCTGAATATTATTCTTTCTTTCTTTCTTTTTATCATTCTTTCTTTCTGACTCTATTTTCTTTGCTTTTTATTTTTGTCTTTGTTTCTTTCTGTTTCTCTCTTTGTTTTTTCCTCTATTTCTCTCTGTCCTTCTCTTTCTGCCTGTTTCATTCTTTTTCTCCGTCTTTTTATTTCTTTCTTTTTCTCTTTCCTTTTATTTCTTTCTTTTTTCTCTCGTTTTTTCTTTCTTTTTTCTCTTTCTTTTTTCTTTCTGTTTCATCCATTCATTTTTCTCTCTTTCTTTTTCTATCCGTCCCATTCTTTTCTTTCTTTCTTTCTTTCTTTCTTTCTTTCTTTCTTTCTTTCTTTCTTTCTTTCAGATTTATCTTTTTGTACAAATTTGTAGAAAATTATTACAGTCTAAATTGTATGTTCTTTCCTTCTTTCTGTCTTTGTTTAATTCTTTCTTTCTGACTATTTATTTTTCTTTTTTTTCTTCTCGCTTTCTTTTTGTTTCTCTCTTTTTCTTTTCTCTTTTTCTTTCTGGTTCTCTGTCTCTCTTTCTTTTCTCTCCAAATTTCTTTCTTTCTGTCTTTCTTTCTTTCTTTTCTCTCTTCTTTTCTTTCTTCCTTTATTTTTTCTCTTCTTTCTTTCTTGTTTCCTTCCTTCATTCCATTCTTTCTTTCTTATTCCGTTAAGCTTTCTTTTTTGTACAAAAAAATCTATGTTCATTTAATCAAATATCTTTTTTCCCAGCTCATAATCATATTTCTAACAATGTTTCTCCATTTCACGCGTACACCCATGTACACCCACAAGCACAAAAACAAGCAAACATATATGCCATTTTAGGTGTATTTACAAAAGCGTACACCGCCTGAATTATAGACACTATTTTATGAACGCGGAAATTTCTTGTTTAATATTTTCAAGGTTAATCTTTAGCTTCAGCATTTGTCTCGTTTCGAAGGAGACAATTGCTATAAAACTGTATGGGATTCATTTATTTTTCTCTTTACCCCTTTAAGAAACTCTGTGTTTATCTGACCATCAAGGATGGCGACGTTTCACTTTATTTTTTCAAGTTTTAAAAATCGATTGAGACGTTCACGGTATGAAGAGATTGCACTCTTTAGCAGTAGAGGGAATGATCTAGGAAGAATTCGATAACCCTGCTGACTTTTTTTTCCCTTATAATGGAGATATCTTTTTAAATGCAAAATATTTTAACTATTTCTTTTTTGTATGATTTTAAAAGTTCGAAAGTATCAAAAGAAAATAGAATTATTTTTAGAGATTATACAGGTTTTGTGGTTGACGGGGGTTCTGTTTGTTAGTAACTTGCTTGTTTGCGATGCTTAAAAGATAAACGATAAACATAATGTACAGAAGAAAAGAAAGCACAAGCCACGATATAATGCAGAAAATAACATAAAAACCGTGATAAATGAAAGAAAGAAAGAAAGAAAGAAAGAAAGAAAGAACGAAGAAAATAAACAAAATAGAAAATTGGAATTTAAAAAGTTGCAACGAAAATCTAAATAAATGTATCCGCAATTAAATGAAAAGAAGGATAAAAAAAGAAGGGAAGAAAGAAATTGGAAGAAAAGAGAAAACCAAAGAAGAGAACAAAATTAAATTTTAGAAGTTCCAAATAATCCTGTGTGAATATATACGCATGAAAGAAAGAAAAAATATCAAATGGGAGAAAATGAAAACAAAGAAGAAAATGAACTGAAAATAAAAAATGAAAGATCAAATGGGAGAAAATGAAAACAAAGTCAAAATGAATTGAAAATAAATAAATAAAGAAAGAAAGAAATATCAAATGGGAAAAAATAAAAGACATAAAAGAATGAACCGAAAATAAGGGAAGAAGGAATGAGCAAATGGGAGAAAACGAAAACAAAGACAAAATGAACTGAAAAGAAAGAAAGAAAGAAAGAAAGAAAGAAAGAAATAAAGAAAGAAAGAAAGAAAGAAAGAAAAAAAATCAAATGGTAGAAAATAAAGGACAAAGACAAAATGAACCAAAAATAAAGAAAAAAAGAAAGAAATATCAAATGAATAAAGAAAGAAAGAAATATCAAATGGTGAAAAGAAGAAAATAAATAAACCGAAAATAAAAGAAGACAGTAAGAAGAATGAAAGATTAAATGCGAGAAAATGAAAATAATGACAAAAAGAACGGAAAATAAAAAAGAAAGAAAGAAAAATCAAATGGGAGAAAATGACAGAAAGAAAAATGAACCGAAACTAAAGAATGAAACATCAAATGGGGAAAAAATGAACCGAAACTAAAGAATCAAAGAAAATAAAGAAAGTAAGAAAGAAACATGAAATGGAATAAAATGAAAAGCAAAGAATGAAACTAGAATAAAGCAAAAAACTGAAGGATCCATCCACAAAGAAAAATAAGATACTGCAAGTAAAACAAAAAATAAAAATAAATTTAAAAAAGTATCAAAGAAAAAATGAATGAATCTATAAATGAAGAAATAAAGAGTTAAAATAGGTGATAATGAAGGCCAATAAAAAAAGAAACAAGAATAATAAAGCAAACAGCATTGAATGAATGAATCAGCAAATAACTAAATAAAAAAGAACGTTATTCCCCAAATAAACAGAAGAATGAAATGAAGGACCAGGAAATTTGAAATAAACACGCACTCACACAAATGAAAAAGGGCGGAAAATGTGAAAGTTTTTGACAGTTTAAATTTATACCAGCCTTCTACATCAAGACAAAACTCCCAAAGTAAAATATTAACAAAAAATGTTCATATTCTTTACCGTTTTTAAGATCCACCGTCGTAGCTTTTCATTATGGTAGAAAAAGATAATTCATCTTAAAGAGGAATAAAGATGATAATACAAAAAAATAATTAAGCACCAACAAGTAAAAGCGTAAAATATTTCATAGGAAAACTAAATCTTAGCCAATGAACCTTTAAAGATACAGTATTGAGCTTTATTTTAAATGAAAAAGAAACAGGCAATTTTACAGAAATCTTTGATCAACGAAGTTTGAAAGACTTTGAAATGCAGAGCTATATAATCTATAAATATAGTTGGCAATGTTTTCTTTATTATCATCATTATTTACGATGCTAATTTTTCCAGCAGATATTTTAATTCTTTCTAGATACATGTTCAAATTAAAAGCCCCTTTTAAATATTTAGCTTTCGCCTTTACATCAAGCCTACTGTCATAGAATCTTTCTTAGAAATTGAATTATTAACAATGTGTATGGTATTTGTTTTTCCTCATGTGATGGAGACTTTTCTCTTTTGGTTTAATTAATGGCTTTCAAATCATATACGTTACTCGAGTAGAAATTTCTAATTTTGAAATGTAATCCCCTTTATGTGTGATTAAAAAAGGTGATTTTATAAATAAATAGATGCATGAAATATAAAAGTGATAATATATGAAATTCACTGGACCATAATGTACAAAATGCTAAAATCGAAAAAGACAACAGGCGCAATTATTATACTACCGACTCAGCCGTATATTAAATATACTTAAAAAAAAAGGGGTAAAGAATATGTTGTTTTAATAATATGGAACTTTCTTACCTTTATTCGTGAAAACTTTCAGCACTATAGATACTTTCCCCAGAGAATCACTTCTAAAAACAATAAAAGAATAAATAAAAGTAAATAAAATTTTGACTATTGTCTTCATCTTTATTGTCATATTCACGACGTTTCGGTCGTTGTAGGCCTCGCCTTCTTCAGGTGATATTTGGTGGAATTTCGAACCGAACACATTTAGTCAACTGGAATAGATTGTTCTAGTTCCACGTGCTATGACTTTTTTTGGATACCACAGTTATCTCCATTTACTAACTCAATTCGCCATGTTTTTGTCACTACTGTTGTGGCCAATTATTGAACTCTCAACACTTTGGGTCAAGTCACTGGACTATTTCAATCCTTGGGAACACATGGCCCCGAGGAAATAACCGTTGATTGAAATAATCCAGTGACTTGGCTCAAACAGTTGTGAGTTCAATACCTGGCCACAACAGAGATGAAAAAAACCCCTAGGGTGTTGAGTTGCTAAAGGGAGATAACTGAAACTGAGATATTCAGAAAAGACATGATACGTGGAACTAAAACAGTCTACTTTGGTGGAATAAAAGTGTTCGGTTCAAAATTCCAACAGATAATTTCTGAAGAAGGGCGGAGCGAACAACGGCCGAAACGTCGTGAATATGACAATATATATATATATATATATATATATATATATATATATATATATGGAGAGGGATATTACTAGTTATAAACGTTATTTTCGGTAGATACTCATACTTGAGTAGACACTCCGTTTATTAATTAAACATTACACACACACACACACACACACACACACACACACACACATATATATATATATATATATATATTTATTTTTTAAAATTCGTTAACCCACAATATAGGTGACTTATGTTCAATAGCTGTTAACACTCTTTCCAGTATTGACAAGGCTTTCATATATTTGATATTGGTTGGTATGTCAACATTTATTATGTCAGTCTTTACTGTTCCTCAAACATGTAATATTCCTTCTTCTGAGAATTTAATTAACCTGTGTATTTCATTCTTCAGAGTATTTCATTCTTCTGAGTATTTCATTCACCTGTGTATATAATTCTACTGAATATTTCATTCGCCTGTGTATTTCATTCTTCTAAGCATTTCATTCTTCTGTGTATATCATTCTCCTGAGTATTATATTCTTCTGCGTATTTCATCCTTCTGAGTATTTAATCCTTCTGCGTATTTCATTCTTCTGCGTATTTCATTCTTCTGCGTATTTCATTCTCCTGAGTATTTCATTCTCCTGAGTATTTCATCCTTCTGAGTATTTTATTCTTCTGAGTAGTTCATTCTTCTGAGTATTTCATTCTCCTGAGTATTTCATTATTCTGCGTATTTCATTCTTCAGAGTATTTCATTCTACTGAGTATTTCATTCTTCAGAGTATTTCCTTCTTTAGAGTATTTCATTCTCCTGTGTAATTCATTCTTCTGCGTATTTCATTCTTCAGAGTATTTCATTTTTCTGAGTATTTCATTCCTCATCGTATTTCATTCTCCTGAGTATTTCATTCTTCTGCGTATTTCATTCTCCTGAGTATTTCATTCTCCTGAGTATTTCATTCTTCTGAGTATTTCATTCTCCTGAGTATTTCATCCTTCTGAGTATTTTATTCTTCTGCGTATTTCATTCTTCTGAGTATTTCATTCTACTGAGTATTTCATTCTTCAGAGTATTTCTTCTCCTGAGTATTTCATTCTTCACAGTATTTCATTTTCCTGATTATTTCATTCTTCAGAGTATTTCATTCTCTTGAGTATTTTATTCTTCTGCGTATTTCATTCTTCAGAGTATTTCGTTCTCCTGAGTATTTCATAACCAGATTATTTCATTCTTCTTAGAATTTCTATGTCTTCTGAGTATTTCTTAATCCTTGTATGAAAATTTCCTTGAAATAAGAGTCTTCTCTCAATTCGACGTTTTATTTCTACAATATTCAAAACGGCTTACTTTTATTAAAAAAGCACATACAGCTAAAATCTTTTTGGAAGACACTCGAAAATTTGACAAAACTGATATCATATAAAAGCACCATCTATATAAATAAATGCAAATATTGGTGTGTCAGTGTGTCATACTTTTTCAACTTTACTCCTATAAACGGTAGCCGAATATATCCTACCATTTTGGGATCAGGCCATCTCCGTGAGCAAAGTAAAATGTTTCGGATCCGGACCGGCAATCCTGAAATTACTGCGATTGTGTTCGTCGAATTTTAAGTGATTTTCTGCGACGAATTTTTTGTACGATAACAATTTTTACAAATTGGAAATAAATTTGGGAATATTTGAAATTAATTGCAAAATCCAGTAAAACGTCACCCCTGAAATAAATATAAAAAAAACGAAATTAAGGACCTACGTCCATCAAACTGTCTTTAGATTAAGCGGCGGTAAAGAATTATCGTTGAACTTTTAAAAGGTAAGCATAAATATTAATGCAGCGATCAATTTTGAGTTCTTCTGTAGTTTATTGCGGACTTTCTCATATGACAGCAGTATGCCTCACAAAAAAATATCTCCGACAACAGACGGCCAGATTACAATTAAGAGAACCAGGGCTGCATCGAAGAAAAGAAAGTCCAGTGAAAATGAAAACCCAGGAGAGCTTCTAATGCTGAGAATATGCAAAGACTCTCAAACTCCTAAACAAACCGAAGGCCCAATCAAGAATCCCCCGCAGGAGCTAGCTTAATTGTCGCCCGACCGGGCGGCTTTTAAGCTAGTATATACTAATTTAATTCCGTATCAAAAGAATATCGTAAAATTAAACAATTTTTGAGATAACCATTATGTTATGTATATTATATATTTCAATCATGTTTTTTTTTTCTTTTTTGATGAATTAATTTCACTCTTTTTGTTATGGAGGAACTGTCCTCTGTTCCTGTTTATTCTTATTAAAGATCGAAATTTCAAACGAATTTACTGCTTATAAATATACAAGAAATTAAATTAAAATAAAGTCTGGTTTATGTTTGTCTGCATCTTTGTGGTGAATTAGAAATTTTCATTTTCGAATTATATTTTTTTTAGATTTGAAAACTGTGTCGTGACATAATGAGTATTCGGAGAATATAAATATGTTTCATAAGTCTCGTTCCAGTATTATAAGTGATTTTTTTTATTATGTATTATTTCGATTCAGCACAACCAACATATATACATTTCTTTATATAAGAGTTGGTGTTGAAAACCTCTTGAGAACAACCAATTATTTTGAAAACTGCTAATGCTTTGTCAGATAGATTTTGTGAATTTTTCAATGTGCCCCGAAAGATAAATATATTGTATGTTGGTCCAAGAGTTCATCTTCTACAATTTAACAGCCAGACTACAAATCCCGTTTGATTGGATTATCACGATTTAAGGCTTTTACATAAATATCCCCTTTTCGAAAGAACTGGATACATAGTGTACCACGAGATCAACAAATAGCCCACCTCAGTTCGGTTTCAGAGTTGTCGTTCTCATCGACAAGGCCACTCAAGTCATACGTTTCTAGTCTGCACTAATATTTGAGTCCAGGTTTGATCACGACCATGCATCCCGTCGCTATCTTGTTGCAGATATGTCACGTTGTCATCCTTTTCGTTTATTCCCATCATCTTTTGCACCAATACAAGCCATTGGGGTGAAATAAGCATAAACAATTATCCAAAGTAAATTTTCTGAAAAACAGAAATTTCAAATCAGTTGTATATCATCCAAATAGTTAAAATATACACATCAAAATCATGTCCAGATATTCGGGATTCCGGATATGAGGCACTCCGGATATACGGGATTCCAGATATGTGGGATTCTACTGTATTTCATAATGTTCGTTCCACAATCATAAGTGATTTTTTATTATGTATTATTTCGGCCAAACACAACCAACATATATACATTTTTTATACGAGTTAGTGTTGAAAAACCCTTCAGCACAACCAGTTATTATTTTGAATACTACTGTTTTGTCAGATTTTGTAATTTTTTTCAATATGCCTTGAAAGATAAATGTATTGTATGTTGGTCCAAGAGTTCATCTCCTAGAATTAAACAGCCAGACTACAAATCACATTTGATTGGATTATCACGATGAAGGCTTGTACATAAATATCCCCTTTTTTTTCGAAAGAATTGGATACATAGTGTACCACGAGATCAAAAAAATAGCCCACCTCAGTTCGGTTTCAGAATTGTCGTCCTCCTAGAAAATGTCAATGAAAATATACCTTCCCAGTATGCACTAATATTTAATCCATATCTAGGTGGAGAATAGATGAATCCATATTTTTCCCTAATGTATTTTGTGCGAAATTAAATGCAACGAATGCGACTGGAATTCTGATTCCTAACCGCTATTACACCATCTGTGCCTCCATTACTTATTGATGTATGTAAATATGTGTATCTATATAAACATGCTTGTATATATACATACATACATAGATGCACGTATAAGTAATGCGTGCATATACATGATTAGATGATTTTATAATTATTTATATATATTTTGCAGGTGAATCATTTCTATCCTGGTATTTTTCGGGCAAATAAAATTAAATAGATTTTGAGACATCTCCGCTGGTCATCTATAACTAGACCACTTCTCTGGCACTTGTTTATTCCGGCCGGCAATAAGCGGCTATCAAGATATTTATTTTATGTGTAACTATCAGCACATCGTCACCACAATACATGAGAACAAACAGATGGCAGTATATCTCGTTGCTCATTGATTTTCAGCTAATAGAGCTCTTTTTTCAAAGAGACGCAATAACACTACTATCTGTAAGCGGTTAGCGGGGAATAAGAGACGGCTTCGAATCATTACTTCAAACATGGCGTTCGTTTTTATCAAATAGCATCTTCAAGGGAGTGAAAGAAGAAATGTTTTATGAAAGCAAAGAGGGTGAAAAACTCAGAAAGTCGGGTGTAGAAGTGAGAGAGAGAAAGAGGGAGAATGAATTCAAATGGGGAGAGGGTTCGTTTGTTATCGCTTAAAAACGTTACAAAAAATAAAATCGAATAGGGTGGGATAAAATAGAAATAAAGCTGATTTAAAACGAAAAACACATTTTAATATTACACTCTTTCTACCCCCACATCCCATTGTCGCTTAATGTTTAACGCAGTTCTTTTGATGGTCGTACTTATTTGTTTTATTTTTTCATTCTGTATTTAGCCTTGTCGGGGTTATATTTTTGTCTTTTGTCATGTTATTTGGATTTTAAAAAAACAAACAAAAAAAACAATAGTTTTTGATGTGTGTTTATTTTTTTTTATAAAAAAAAATATGTATTTTGCGTTCCTTTCACTTTTTATTGGTGATAATCATCATTGACTGTTAAAATTGGCTCTTTGTTGAATCAGTCATTTGTGAAGGAATAACGGGAACTGAATAAATACCGGGGGAAGAGACAGAGGGATAGGTGATAAGAAAAAAAAAAAAAAAGAGATAGTAATTCTTCGAAAAACGAAAAAGTAACTAAAAAGGAAAGGAATAAAATATTATAAGAGAAAGCGAAAAAGAAAAGAATTTCGAATGAAGGAAATTGAGGAAGCGAAATGCATAGGATTACAAAACCGTTTGAATAAAAATTTAAGAACGTTTTGTTTTGTGGCTGATGTTATATGCTATTTATCTCATAATCCGCATTTATTTTTGTATTTGAAATTCCTAAAAAAATACCATCTGTGTTACAAGCTTATTGTTTTCACTATTCCAACAGTAAAATATGTATTATATTTAAACTATACCACAAATAACAGATGTACAAAACTGTAACAATTATGATTTAGCTCGAAGGTTAATTTCGATATGAAAGATTTTTAATTATGGAAACATAAGTTTATCATTGTTTGTATTGTATATTTTTTGTCATATTTGGTCATCCGTATTTCAGTTTATCTATATAAAGCTCATAGATTTAAACGTGTTTTCAGCACATAAGCGTAAGTAAAACTGACTTGATATCCACTTGATATTCAACTTAAAAACACCTTACAGGTATCGATTGTAAACAAATATATTTCTAATTATAAGCCAAATTAATTTTCTTAAAATCCAGTTAAATAATAAAACTTTAAATAATGGAACTTTAATAGAACGAATTTTTACTGATTCCTATAATTCTAGACAGGCTATATTATATTTGAAAAAAATAATTACAGTTATTTAATTTTTTTCTGTTGGTAGATATTAATCATGCGATAATCGAAGTAAATTTTTAATAAAAAAGTTGATAGTAAAATATTCTAAAAGTGTCTTTAATTCAGTAAAATATTTTTTTAAAATTTATGACAAAGATATGTTATTTCCTTATGGTCAGAATAAAAATCAACACAGCAAAGATGATAATTAAATTACTGCAATACGTCTTCAAATTTTAAAACAGTCCTTGATCGTTGTTAAAATTCTGATGTGTTGGTATTTACTTCGTTGATATTAGCAGCACACACTGTGAACCGTTTTATTTGAACATATTCTGTTGTAATTCATGCAAATATAAAAAATCTGGTATAGATTCAAATATAAATCAAAACATTGAAGAACATTGGAAATTATTTACCATTAACTCAAACCCATAGCTTCTCAAATACAATAGTAAATGCGAATGCAAACACTATATGTCATAAATAATTTAATAGATCACATTTAATATCGTTTACAGTCAGAATATTATATAATGTACGCAACTATTTAAAACAAACATGACTTAACAATACAGTGCAACCTCGATTCTCGAAAGTCTCACATGTCGAACAAATCGGTTTTCAAACAGAAAATTCGAAATGAAAATGCCTCGTTTATCGAACAAAATTTCGGTTCTCGAACAACATTGCCGAACCGAGTTAACCCTAACAGAATAGTTTCTGAGTTGACCGCGTAGTCGTATACTTTCATGTATTGTGGTGTGTTTTTCTTTTCCAATTTTATTGTACTGTGACTTTTTCTCTACATTGATTCCTATTGGAAAAAAATAGTTTCGGTTTACGAAAATTTCGGGTTACGAACGGCCTTCAGGAACGAATTAAATTCGTGAACCGAGGTTCTACTGTATTTGCTTAACCACGTAATAGATAGACAAATTAAAGTGAACTTAGAAAAACTGAAGTTAACAATAATACAAATGAAAACATAGAAATACTATTAAACTATTTTACAGGAACTAACTATATAGTAACTACATATTGGTCAAAACAATTATAAGAAAACTAATACATGGACATGTATCACCTATCGTCAAAGTCAAATCGATTATTAAGGACAAAAATAGATTAAAACCTCTAAAATACTCAAAACCAAATCTTGTCTAAACCAATTTTGTTCGGAATTCACTTGTCCAATTGGAGAAAGCATCTTTAATACATATAATAATTCAGAGGATGAATACATTGGTTCCGCAAAATCTATATTATCATGTTTGATTTGTCATTTATCCAATAATAACACATATCACAAACCAAATAATGTTATTGCTTATCACTAATGAAAATAAAAAGACAAAGCACACGAAATCCTATACTGACACATAAAATAAATATACGACATAATATCAAATAAACTATTAAAAAAAAAACGACAACTAATATAAAAACTTTGACCATAAAACGAACAATCTCCAATCAATAAAATTTCCTTCATTTTAGGTACACATTAATAATTTCATAATTAAACAAGTAATGGATTTAAAAAAAGGACATGAGAAAAAGTAAGCCGTCAAAGCGCGGACCCCCCTCCAAAAAAAAAACAAACAAACAAAAGAAAACAAAAATTAGACATAATACACACCGACGCGTAAAGACGACAGGTTCGAAAATCCATAAAAAGAAATAATAGATATCTACAGTCACAAACTCATCAGCAGTCAAAAATGATTCAATAGTGGCTTATGACACTCGGAAAATAGTGAACATTTTCTGTTCCAATTGTTCATGAAATCAGAAAAATTGTTCGAAATGTTGAAAACTAAATTAAGAAATTGTTAAACAAGATAGTATTCAACTAAAATTGCGTAAATCAAAAGGCATACCAAATACTGCTAAAATACACACACACACACACACACACACACACACACATATATATATATATATATATATATATATATATATATATATATATATATATATATTATGGGTAACGTATACCAAGAGGAAATATTGCCAAATCCATTAATACCAT